AATTTGTAACAATGAAAATACATCCTGCATATCAGATATTTACATTACGATTCATAACAGTAACAAAATTGCAGTTATGAAGTAGCAACGAAAATAATTTTATGGTTGGGGGTCACCACCACATGAGGAACTATATTAAAGGGTCACAGCATTAGGAAGGTTGAGAACCACTGGTCTAGAAGGTGGCATATGACCTTGGCAAGTTATTCGTCCTCTCTGAACCTCAAGGCTCCTCTGCAGACTGGAAGTGGTAATAACGTTACCAGGGCCGTTGTGAGAACTAAATGAAATAACGAAGCACTCCGCGCTGCACCTGGCCTGATTCAATCACCATTGTTCTACTTAAATCCTCACCGCGTTTGTTAGGTGAGGAAACTGAGGCCATGAAGGTTAAGGGACTTGCTTAAGGTCACCAACTGGTAAGTGGCTAAGTGGCACTTGGAGCTCAAGTCTGTGGGACTCTCAGGCCGATGTCCTTTCCCCTGCAGCACGGGGCCTCTGCGCCTCTCCCGCCCACGTCCACCTGGCTGAGTCTTACAGGGATGACCACAGATCCTCAGGGCCAGAGAGCTAGCCTTCCGGGGCTCTCTCTCCCGGCAGGCGTGGCGGGGGCCCTGGCTGGGAGGCTGACCTGGCAGTAAGGACTGGGCCTCAGGTGGACATTTTACTCTCCACCTTGGAGAACACCCACCCCGCTGTCCCCGGCCAGCTCTAGGGCAGCCCGCATCCCCGGCCTGCAGTTCCGCACTTCCTCCTCTCCGGCTCAGCCATCTCTCTAATCCTCTCTCAGCTCTTCACAGCCTTGCAGGCTACCCGAGAGGAAAGAGCTGCTGGCTGCTCTGCCTGTGGCACCCAAAGTCAGCCTCTCTGCTAACCACCCAGCTTCTCCCCGCGCCTAGCCCAGCCCCGGAGGCTCCCCAACTGAGTGCTTGTCCGCGAGGCCAGGGAGCCGGGACAGGGCTCGGGCTGTGCAGAACACAGGCCACAGCGAAGCTGCCCTGCTACAGCCCACAGACCTGGGTTTGAATCCCGGTCCTGCCTCTTATCATCCCTGTCGCCAAGGACCTCTTCCAGCCGCACCTGTAGCGTCAAATGGTTATGATAAATACTTCCCAGGGTTTCTGTGCGACCTACCACTGAGAGCTATGCGAGGCACTGAGCGGCGCCTGGCTGGGCGCCCAGTGAGTGAGCTTTTGTTACTGGGCTGCGAGGCAGGGTGAGGAAATGCCACGGGGACAGCTCTCTGGAGGAGGCCAGCGGACGTGTCCTTGGAACCCATGGCCCCCCCTGTGATTCTAGGATACTATTCTGGGGGCCCTGAAACAAAGACACATACATGCTCATCCCAGACAGCCTTCCAGGCAGGTCCCGTGCCCCCAGCCCCAGGCCCCTGCGGCCCACTCCCGTCACCCAGCACTGATGGCCGCCACCATGCTCCCTGGGTGAGCATGTGTCCACCCCCCACCCTGGAGACAGGGGCTCCCGCAGAAGGGACTGCAGGGTTGGCTGTCCTGACACATCCTGGGCCGTTAGCCAGGCGTGTGGGGACTCCTTGGGAACCCTCCCCTCACTCCTGTGTGGGCAGAAACCCTGTCTGTCTCCTGACCCCTGGCTCAGTGCCCAGCCCGTACAGGCTCAATAAATGTACAGAAAGGAACTGAATTCAGGCCCCACCAGGGTCCACGCTGCTCAGAGGGGCCTTTATCGTCTCCTCCCTCCTCTCAGGGCTGCTCTGGTTCTAGGGGCTGCAGATCTCAGTCATCCCAGGAAATCCCTGTTGAGTCAAGAGAAGGCAAGGGAGGACAGAGGACAGGTGGGGAATCATTGGTTTGTGTCCCCTTTTCCCCAAACGGGGGCATCTAGAGAGGATTCCTTCTTCTCCAGTGGTCATACATTCCAAATGGCTGAACACATCCACGCATCTTCCACCACACCAACCACCAG